CATCTGCTCTAGGCTGATCACTGATGGAAGCTTGTTCCCTTGCTGTTATTCAGCTAGGAAAGTTTGACACAAAACAATGCATAGCGAAAAGATCTTCTGAGAGACATCAGGTTTCACCCTTGAGAGCTGCCATAACCAAATCACCTGTCTGTGTTCACGAAGGACTGCTTGTATAAAAAGAAATGTGAACGCAAGCCCTGTCTGATCAGAGGTGATGGTAGGATGAATCTGCAATGCCTTTTAATGTAAAATATTGATCAAATAGTCTGATATTTAGTTTTTCTTTTCATCTTTTACTGGTCGTCTCAGATCTATGTGGTCCTGCTGTCCTTCAACTAGTTCTTCAAGGTTTTAGGAAGAGAGGGATTGCTTTTCTCTTCAGTAGTTTAGAAATGATAGCTCTCATCTGCAGTCTTTTCCGCACTTTCCAGCTGTGCTCAACCCATCAGTAGCACCATCAGCATTAGTAAAACCTGTGTCCTAGTTTTAAACTAGGTCTCTAAACTTGCAGTGACAACCTAAACAGTAGGTATGGTCCTTCCAGCCAGAGCAACCTATGGATATGCTGGCTGAAGCAGAAGCCTGGAGACCCACCAGCACTCTGGACTGCAGCATCATACCAGTGGACCTGAGTTAGCGCTGAGAACAGAAATAGGGACAGGTGAGCCGAGTGCTAGTATTACATCCTGAACTGTACCCAGGCAGCTTTGAAGATATGTCCACTCCCTGAGACAGTTTCAAATTACAAGATTCTTCACACCACAGGAGTCACAAGCAACCATAGATGAATTGTTTCAAAACAGAGAGAGTTGGGTGCTCATGTCAGTCCAACTTCAGCAGGAATCAGGGAGGTCTGGAAAGGGTTGTGGGTGGTGGGTAATGAAAATAAAGAGAAAGAGTTGTTGACAAGGAAAAAAAAAGAAAAAAAAGCGTAAAGGAAAAAGGAGCAGAAGTGAAAGAATTTCTTACTTGCTTGCTTCCTTGCTTCCTTCCTTACCTTCATTCCCGTCTGCCTTGAAGGTACTAGATATGTGTGTGGCTGTGATGTAGATACTGGAAGGAAGAGAAAACAGAAGAAGTTTCACCAATCATTTATTTCTACTGTCTATCAGCATCCTCTTTAAGGCCAGGGTTATACAGAGGGTTTATAATTATTTCCTAGGCAGTCAGAGTCCTGTCTCCCTTCAAAAGCAGGGAAAGTCTCTTCCTTACATTGCCCATGCTCTTCCTTACATTGCCCATGGAGGCTCTAGATTTGTATTATTTGTATAGAAGAACAAAACTTTTTATTGTAGCATATTCCAGCCATGCTTCTTCTGCAAATACTTTAACTTTTAAGCACAGCATGTCTGGTTTATTTTGGCTTCCTTACACTTTTTTGCCCAGGATATGAGGAAAATAGACATGCATCTCCACTGTGCTCTTCTCAGCTCTGTGTTCTCAGCACACAGCTGTGCAATTTGCTGGAGACAAGGTTGCTTCTTCTGGCAGGGTTGATCTTATGCTACCAGTGAGACCCCTTTGAGGCAGATATTGACCAAAATGTCCCAAAACTAGAACAAGTTTTGTTTTCCCAGTATCGTCCCAATTTTCCCATTAACAGTGGCAGAGGTCAGCCAAATCTAATATGATCCCTGCAAGAACATCTCAAGCCTAACTCCTTGTGTGGGTGTTTCCTATAGGATAGACTGCCCATGAAGACTGCCTGACTCCTGCCTCGCTCGTACTCGTGTGGCACCACTGAATCCAGTCAAATCCCGCTGTTCAAAATCCACTGACAACAAGAGCAGCATCCAACCCCCTGCTGCTCTGCGTTTTACAGGTCTGAGTAATTTTTTCCAAACCGCTTCTGACTCCACTTCAGGACTATAAAACTGATGCTCATAAAATAAAATGCTTGATAGATCAAGTGAGATATTTTTGTAATTCTTAAAGAGTGAAGAGTTTTGAAAGAAAGCAATTGGTTGCCTTCCTTTGTGTGAATGCGGTTTTTCATATGGAAAAAACAGAATTAGTCATTTGATAGCTGACATTTGAATAGTGTTATGTTGCAGATAGTCATTTTTCCCTCAAATATGGTGTGGAGGCTTTTTTCATTAAAAAAAAAAAAAAAAAAAAAGCCACAGCTTTTAGCCCTGTGATCCAATGAAAATAATTAGAAGTAAGAAAGGGAATCCCTATGGATTGTAGCAGTCCAAGTTTCTTTGACTTCACGAGTACCTGCTGTTTTGACCATCAGAATCCATCTATTGTAAAAATGTTCATAACATTTGGTTTTACTCACAGAGGTAGTTTTAATCCTTCACCTGATAGTCAAACAGGGATTTTGCCAGTACAGGCAGAGTTGGAGCTCTATTTTGCAATTGCTCAGAAGCCTCTAAATGCAATGTGACTTCAAAAAAGACCCAGTGAGAGCATTTCTTTCCCTGATATATAATCTTCTCTGTATGATATTCCCACCTCTGTGCAGTAGTCCTCAAGAGAAATGAAAAACAAAGGGATATGCACTTATTCTATTATTCACCTCTTCCGACAATACCACCATGCAAGGCTTGAAGCTCTCTGTCATCCAGCAGCAGGAAGAATTTCCTTAGCGCTTCCAGCCCTTTTTCCCTAAAGTGTTGAGCATCCACCAGCTCCTTCCAGCTCCAAATCAAACCACTGCGTGCTGAGTTGTTTTCAAAACCCAGGCAATCTGTTCACCTGCTGAGAGAATGGCGTTAGGAGTTGTACACATCGAAACCAAAGGGTATGACGTCTTGGAACTTAATATTCCCTGGCGGCTGCTGTTTCAGATGGCCAGATGAAGCAATTGTGGTATTTTGCCTGTTTAACACCTCCCTCCTATGTTAATTTTCAGTGGAAGAACTTGTGTTAAACTTGCAGTTTGTCAAAGACACCACAAAGTCATCCAGTATTTCTGCTTTTAAAATTAAGTAACTGGTAACTGACTGGTTACCAGTCACAAGCCAGCACAGATGTGGCAGGCACCAAATCAGTATCAGGCAAAGAAACATTTGTAAATGTGAATGGAAATGCTGTGGGGATCATCTAGACTCATGAAAAAAAAAAAAAAAAAAAAAAAACCTCCAATAATTAATCACTGGAATTTGAACGTTACAGTGATTTGCTTTTCCTTGCAGAACTTGTGCATCAGACTAATAGGACCCCAAGGTCAGCTGAGATAGAAACTGATTGAGTTTTGCTCCAACAAATGCAGCAACGCTGATTTATCCCATCTGAACATCTGAGTTGGTGTTGCCATGTGTTACCATGGTGGCAAAGGTTTGATCCAGAGAACTAACTGAATAACATAGCATGCTGGGGTTTAATTCTTATTTTTTCTAGTAGTACTAAGTCAACTTACAGATCCTACCCATAGAAAAGAAAGAGTTCTTCATTTTCTCTTTGTCTTGTTAATATTACAAGCAACAGCAAGAGTAACATGAAAAAGAGGTACAGAAATACTGAGACAATATTTTATGAGTAACTTTTACAAACTTGCATTTGTTGAGATACAGCCCCGCAACAAGCTGGGATGTTTGGCCACATTTGTCTGCAAATATTTAGGTGTGCTCCAGGATCTGACACCTACAGCTTGTGGCAAAAGATCAAAATCTAAGGATGTTACATACCATTCATGTACCAACATACATGTGATTCATTCCTAGTTTTATTGATGACACATTCCCCTCTTCTCCTCATCTTGACTTCTACAGATGTAAATCAGAAAATATATGCAGTCCTTTCTCAGAGCTGGTTTGATACCTAGAAGATGTTCACTAGGTGTTTTAAGAAATTCATAGTAAGCATGAAGGGTTGTCACATAGTTTTTCCACTACTGGAGAATAATGCTTAGCTTGAAATAGTTTATCTGTCTGTGTTAATGATTTTCTGAAAAACACTGAAAACAAAGAAGCAGTTTTCTCTAAAGTATTTGTTTCTTCTACAAATGCTTGCAGAATGGTGTGAACTATTCGAGTTTTCAGTTCTGGGGCTAAATAAATTAAAAAAATGTGGAAAAGTGTTTTGGGTCTACCTTGAAAAAAAATGTAAGCATAGTGAAATAGAGTTGGTCTGCTTATAGCATAAGGATGTTGAAGCACTTCTAAATACCAAGCAGATGAGTTTGCAGACTTCATTTACCACAGCAACACTAATTTCTTGTTTCTCAGGGGCAGGAGGTATAACAGGCAGCTTTAAAACATGTTTAATTGCATTTAGCTGAGCTTGACCTTAAGCATGCCTTTCAGCTTCGGTTTTTGATCATGACAAATAATCAATTGAAAGAATACTTTTAAGAACTCAAAAGCCAAAAATAACACCTCTGTTGCCAACACCACCTCCCTTTCCCATCCAGCTCTGAAAAGCACTTCCCTTCCTCTCTTTCTCCTCTATCCAGCCATGTCTTCCACCAAGCCCTGAGGCTGGGGCCTGGAAGCACACAGGAAGGCAGCTGGGGAGGGAGGAGATGAAAGCATTTGAGGTATGGAGAGGATAGAGATGTTTTCTCTTGATCCTTACATACTTTCTAAGCATCCTGCCTGCCTTAGAGGGGAAAGACAGCTTATCTGCCAGTCACCGTTAATTTCTTTTAAACCAATATCCTTTTCCTAGTCCACTATTTGGAAAATGGTGAAGTGTCTTGAAGTGCCATTTCAAAAGAACATTTGAAAAATTTAATACGTAAACTTTTTAAAATACGCGTCTTGAATTTTCTAGAATTATTGAAATCATCTACTTTGTTTCACTCTGAGAATCCACCTAAAATGTGCAGATAGCTCCATCCAGCCCTGGCAGTGCCTTTTTTGACAAACTGGATGTCTGCAGCCTGCTCCAGTGCTTTGTCAGATCCCAAAAGTCATCTGCAGCCTACCAGCCACCAACTTACATCTTGATAAATCATGTTTTTCATTCCATGTGAACTGAGTTTTGTTCTTGTTTATACCCAGCGGTATAAAACAGCTCCTATTGTCCATTGTTCCCTTATGTACTTTCAGAAAAACCTGTTTGTTGCTGGCAGCCTTCTCTTGGAGGAATGTGATGCAGAGCACAGATAAAAGCACGAGCATCTGTTAAGATGATTGGCATTATCCTGACAACAGTGTAAAAATCATCTGCTTGGGATGGCAAGCAGGCACAAGACAAACAAAATCAACATCAGCTTCAATTTGCAGTGAGTATGATAAAGCATATGGTGTAATTCAAGGAGGCTGTGCAAAGCTTGTTGCTTATTTCCTAGACATCCTATTCATGGCAGTCATGCACACGCTGATTCATTCAGCAGGAGCTGACGCTTACATAGGTGCTAAGCACCAAAATACTTTTGAAGATAATAGCATAGATAAAGGCAAAAAAATAAAGAATAAAAAAAAATCTTCAAATACTAGTCCATCACTGGGAGCTTTAAGGAATGTCTGTAAGTCCCAGATGCTGGTACTTATCAGGATAAAAGTGTTGATGCTTTATTTCAGCCCTGAGTGATGGAGGAAAGTCTTCCACAGTCACTGGTGCTATTTCAGACAACACTAAGAAAATTCTTGATGTTTTCACATTCAGGCTTTGACCTCACTTGACCCTGCTTAACTTTAAAATCTGACAAGCATAGTCTGGAATTATGTTTCTGTAACTAAGGATTGAATGCATTTTTAAATGCTTTAAGCCTTCTACTAAAAATGTTAGTCTTCTATTCAAGACTCATTGCTCTGTTTGGGTTTTGCATAGCTGATTTTGCCTTGGCATCCCTAAAAATATTTCTGTATGGAAAAATTGCTGCAAATTGACATCCTATGTGTTGTTGTGTTGGTTTTTTTTTTACTATATATTTCTCTGTATTTTTAATGAGGAAGTAAGAAGCTTCACCCCTCTCTGCTGAAATTCACTGTGGTGTTTCTGCAATGAGATTTTCTTCTATTTGCTGACTATATTCAAAAACATAATCTTCCTGAAAGAGACCAACTGTTACTATTCCTTACAATCTCTCCTCCTCACTTAACATAAAGTGTTTTATTTTCAGTTTTGTAATATGAAATGCAGCAAATCATTTCAGATGCTTTCAACAAATATATCAAACTCCCTACTGATGTCCCTAAACATCAGTAAGTGCAAATAGCTTTGGAGAGCCTTCTGCAAGAACCCAGTCTCCTGCACCACCATAACTGGATCAAAGTGACATGATTGGCATGCAGAAGAGGGAAAGACTCTCTCCCATCACTGATGTTTCTCTGTGGGCTGCATGGAGATATCAGGTTGATACTTTGATAGATTGCAATCTGTTTTCAGCAGCTGACCCAGACATAACATCATCATTTCCTGATTATATTGATATGTGTTTCTATTATTTGCTTATTTTGCGCCTTGAGAAACAATTCCTTTTTGTTGTTCAACTGTAAACAGCATTGCAAGGCCTCATATTAAATCATAATTATTTACCATGCTGTTCACGCACCTTTGTCCCTGGGGAATGTGGTGACGTGAATTTACAGGAAGATCGGGGTATTTCTCACCAACAGTTTCCTGTTATTGATATGCTTTTGTTTAGTTGTGATCTTTTTTTTACCCTTTCAGGTTCTCAGGGGAAAAATAAACAGGCACACGACATTAATCACACTCCTCGGGTATCGTATTGGAGGTCTCACAAATATTTGTGGTGTGGAATTGTGAACTGGGCTTGGATCTTTCCAAAGCACCAGTGACTGGTTGTTGTTCCTTCTTACTGAGTCTCCTATTCTGACAAATGATTCCAATAATTCTTAAAAATTCTTTTGTGATCGCGTTCCCTTTTAGGAGCCAACGAGGTTCAAAAGTTTATGAAGACAACCTTGAAAGTTTTGCATTTGTGTCCTTTTAAGAGATAATACAGGTTGTGTGGAGATACAGAAGTAATTCAAAAGTCTAGAGTTCTTTCAGCAAATACTAGCAAATGTGGCCAAAAAATGTGTTTTTCAAGATGCTTTGCCAACTTCTTTTCTTCATAGATAAACGAAGATTTCAGTTGTGGAGAGCCCATTTACTTTCTACAGAAAGGTAGGATATAAATTATATTCACTAGCATGTCAAAAGGCACAGCATAATAACCAGGGTAGTAGCACACATGTAACACATAAATCTTAAATATTTTTGCACAATTTTTGGCTATCCTACTTTTATTTCTGTCTCTGTGGACCTGTGGTGCACTCCTATCCAGTGACCTTTGTGTAGTATCTTGATTTTGCAATACAGAGTTATAGCACAGCAACCAAGAAATTTAATATCAAACCAGAGTTTGGAAATTTTAGATTTTTTTTCCTTGAAGTGATTGTAGAAATATTGTGGTAAAAGGCAAAATGGCAGTATCTCCCACAGAACCCACACAAGCAAGACCACTTAGGGACAGACAGATCTGCTGGCTTGGCCAGCAGATTCTTTTGAGAAGTCATTCAAGGAATATCACAAGCAGCACAGTAGCTATTCAGGTTCACTACCAAAACCTCAATGTTTTATATTTTTGGTTCATGTCTTGGTAAGTAGCATCTTTCTGAGAAATTGTGTTGTAAGATTCAGAGAAAAATATTGCAATCAAGGCTACATGTCCATATCCTATTAGTGTCTGCAGATTCATCATGCTTGGTGCTTACTGCGCTGCTATAAATGAGGGACGCTATTATTTTCCTGCACTACTTCTGCTAGTACTACGAACTACTAAGGATCGGCCAACAAAAGCTGTACGTGATAAAATCAGAAGAAAAGTCCATGTTACATGACTTCATACAAGTTTTGTTTTTTTTTAAGTACATTGCTGTCTCCTTTCAGAGTATTTAACTTCTAGATCACCTGTAGATTTTATCTAAATTCTTTAAATACCCACTTTTACTCCTTCCAGAAGTCTAAGTAATGCAAAAGGCTCTGTAAAATGTTCTCTATGGCCATGCACATTAAGAGCACAGTCCTGCTTCCACAGGATTCTTGTGTATTTGTCCTCATCTGTAAGCTCAGCCAAGTGTTATCTGGCCACTTCACAGATGAGGAAATTCTAAGAAATCTCAGGTTAAAAGGTTATTCTAGTTGTGACATCTCATCTGTAATTCCAGGCCTTGAAAACAATTTGTTTCAATTTGTTTCAGACGTATTCTCTCCCAGCAGTGTCAGTTTAAGATTTCAAAACCTGAGCAAAAGAAACCTTTTTCTTTCTGGAAACTCCCACTAGAAAAAGAAAAAATAAAATAAAATTATGAAGAAATCCACAACAAAGCTTCCTATCTGTTTTTGTTCTCCAAGCACATTTATCACTCAAACCATAAGAGCATGCATTCCCACAAATGAAATTCTTTCCATCCTCAGTAAAACTCACCACTGACAGAGGAACTCCCACATGCATCAGCAAGCTTACCTCTTGTCTTTTATATCACACTTGAAGACCTTGTTTGCTTGGAGATACACATGGAGACCTCTAGACGGGTTCTCCTTTTACTTTCTCCAGCATGTTGCCCTTTTATTAGCACCTGTTCAGATTTCTTCTTAGTTCTATGGTCTAGCTATGGGTGAGCAATAGTGTGGTCTGCATAAAATTGTGGCTTAGCGTTTGCTTCATACAGTTGAAGTGTCCTTTAACCTGCCATCAGAGCTGATCGACCTGGTGAAGATGGACTGCGTTCAAATGTTTTACAAATGAATGAAATTCCATATTCAGTTGTCATATCCGCAGTTACTCACCCTCTGAACGCTCAGAGTTTTAACACAGTTCTTCCTTCCTCGGTAAGGGTTTAAGATAGGAATCTAGATCTTCTATTTAAGTTCCAGACAGGACGGAAGGAAGTCGGAATTACATTTCATCCAAGAAGTTTCAGGCTCTTCGTTCCTCCTGGACAGAGTGTTTGGGGTTGATATTTGGGCCCAGTCCTCAGTAGAGAGGAAGGGAAAGGTTGCATCATTTCTCTGAGTCAGTGACCATTTCATTGTTGTTCTTGCTCTGTGGTTCTTGTTCTCTGCTAGCTACCTCAGGAGCCGTTGCCACCAAGATGGTGAGACTAGATTGTACTTTGCTATATCTCTACATGGTCTGTGATGTATAGGTATTTTTATTGTCTCTCTGGTGATTTTTTGTGATTATTTTTTCCTGCCATGGTCAAAAGTTATTTCTGTTATTGCTAAGTGCCTTTGGGAAGCAGAGACATCAGTTATGATCATGACAGAATCATAGCACCAGAGGGGAATACCTTCCTCTCTGCATAGATGCTTGTGGCCACTTTGGTTGGCTTTGTTTGACCAACTGTTTGCTCTCATACATGTACTTGTCACACTTAGGAGGAAAAATGATCTAGAAAAATGATGAAGGCTAGAAGGTATTTGGAGGGCAATGACAGATGAAAAGAAACCTTAGATTCACAAACCCTTCCAATTTTCAGATATATCCAAATTCTGGGAAACTAAAAGCTTACAAGTCTCTCCTGTTTCCACAGTTCATTATCTTGTGGGGAAAGATTAACTTCACACAGGATGTACACTTATCTGTAAAATCAGCTGATTAAATCAGTGTTGCCCTCATGATATTTCTTCACCATTTCCAACTTTGGTATACCTACACAAGCTATTTTAACACAGAAATGAAAAGAATATAATGGTATATATCTAAGTTGAAAGTTTTGAATGGTATTCATGTGACTTAGCTCAAACTGCAGGGTGTCAACCTATGGCCAATCTATTCTTCTGTTCTGCTGAAAATTGGTAAAGAAGAGTGAGTTCTGAGCTATCATTCCTCTCACCCTCTAGAGGACACAAAAGTAGGTTAGAAGAGCGTGTGTAGATGTCACAGTTCTGATGTGGGTTTAGCAGCATAGAGATATAGCATGAAAGCAAATGAGCTTGTGGCTGCAGCTATATGGAGGTTTTACACACAGAAGTGTTGGGTGGAGGGGACATCTGGAGCACCTGAGTCCCATCCACTCCAGACAAGGCTCACCATCACTAGATCAGGTCATCCATAGCTTTGTGCAGCCATCTGTAGACCTAGGACTAACGCACACATACTGGAAACAGCATTGACCTCTCTTAGTCCCTTGGTCTCCATAGCATCTCTCTGTTCAGGGTGTTAAGTCCCACCCTGGTTCCTCTAAGTGTATGTGTTTTCCCTTCCTCTCATTTTAGCAGTTTTTCATCACTGCTGGTTTTTTGTTTGTTTGTTTGTTTGTTTTTTGGCATTGTTTATCAAGTAAGTGTGATTTAGCTGTGAACTCAAGAATGCAGAGGTACCCAGCATAGAAACGTGGATATAAATTCATTCTGCTCTGTTTAAGGATTTCAGTGATCTCAGGCCCCCAAAAAGTCTCTGTGATACTCTGCCAGTTTTAATGCTTAAATGCAGTATTTCCAAATAGCATTAGTTTTAGCTGAGAAAGGAGAACATGGGTCTATTCCAGTCCGAGTGCTGAAGATATTTCAGCTGTGGTGATGTCCTGCTGATTTATTTAGCTAATGAGAGCTGAGCCTTAGCAATTGGGATATTGACATAGAAATGACAGTATTTGTGTGCAGACACTCTGTCCATTGATACCAGAGATATTCGTGGTGCCCCACACTTGTGAGCTGCAAAGTACTCTTGTCTTATGGAGGGTAATGTGCAAATACTTTTTAAAGTTTCGCATTTGAGTAAGGTTTACAATACTACTTACATGCTTAAACCTTAACACACCAGTCAGAGATGGTCCCAATGGAGAGCTGCACTGCCAGCCACTTAGGTCTACCACAGAGAGTCCATTTTTAAAACATAAAAACCCACTCTCTCTTCTCTTGCAAAATATTTATTCTTGCTTTTCCTAAGCTTTGTTTTTCTCCAACATTTTTCAGATATTGGTGCCAATGTCATTTTACAATGATTCTGGCTCTGAGTACAATATATTAAACTCTTCCTTTCCACACAAAACAAACAAATGAAAAGAGAAACAGAAAATCCTTTATCTGTTGTCTTTTTTTTTTTTTTTTTCTTTTCAAAAGTAAATAGTTACCCATTGTTTTATAACCACAAATCACTAGTGAATGTTACCAAAAACATTCTGGGAAAAATGAAGGATAATATAGATTCCGCTAAACAGATCTTAGTTTAAAATATATATATGTTATCACAGTAATATGCATTGATTTTATTTATAGAACTTCCCTTTAAAGCACAAAATACAAATTTGCACTTACAGGGAGTTATGTTATGATACATAGATATATGTTTTTCATTATTTTTTCACTGAATTTCACATAAAATTCAGGAAGCCACTACTGAAAAAAAATGCCCAGCAGTATCCAAACCTGCAGTGTTCCCATAACCCTTTGCTGCTGATTTCAAGGAAAAATAACAAACTGATAAGTCATAATTTCAATGTTGCATCTCTTGTTGATTCTTTGCTTGATCCTACCCACTTTCTCCCATTGTATTTTGGATTCTTGTGGTGCCATCCAGCCAAAATCCAACTTAAAGAGGAGATTTAAATCAGCATGAGCTAAGCAATTCATTTCAGCAGAGGTTGTACAGTCCCAGGGAAGTTTGCACAGGTAAATAAATGATTTCATTCTTAATGACAAGAAGAGAGCAGAACACTTGGCTCTTCCCCTTGGAAAACAGGCTTTGTTGGCATTATAATTTGATCAAATTGCCACTCCACAGTGGGCTGGTGCATCATGGTAACATTGGCTCCGAGCCTGAAGAAAATTGCCAACAAAAGCCTTAATAGGTATGCAGTTATTCCGGAAAAAGACTCCTGTCAGCAGAGCTTATTCCACTTTCAAACTGATTTCAACTATGCCAAGAAAAGTACTCTCTTGCTCAGGTGATGAGATGGTGCCAGTATTGCTGAAACAAAACACCTCTGAGGTGTGGATAGCCATGTAGTGTGCATGCATTACATGTCCATGAGGTGAGCCCCAGGGGAGGCACACAGCCCAGTCGGTCCCCTGCCAAAAGACGCAGCCTGGATGTGTCTTAAAGCACATCACAGAAATATGGTCATCCCCTGCACCTGCTCTGTCCACAGCCTGATGGCAAAATCTTTACTTGGCTTGGTTGGTTTGCTTTGTCTTAAGAGATGGCTTAAGGTGGACTTCAGAAGGACCTACTTGCCAGGCTGCTTGGATGAGTCCTTACCCCGCAGCCCACATGCACAAGAGCACTGCTGTCTGCATTCACATCACCCCACAGCAGTGCCCAGACACTGCAGAGGTGGCAACTCCAGTCCAGGAGCAGCCACGTGGGACTGTGGGTTTGTGGCACATACAGGCAGTATGCTGCATCTGGAGGGTAACACCTCTGCAGCCCTCGTAGCTACACCCAAAGCACTTCAGGAGGGCTGTGAATGAGGTGCAAGGAGGGAAGCATGGGTACAGGTTTGGGAAGCATATTTGCTTGTTTTTATTTCTCCCCAGAATATCAAGGATGGGTGAGTATTCAGTGGAAGCCCATTTTCTTCCAAACTTGGAAATACTCTACAGGATTGAGGATTTTCCAAAATTCCAACTTGCAAGACACAAAGAAAGTTCTTTTCACAAAATGATGCCTCGTTTTAACAAAATAAGAGGTAAATGACAAACCTCAAGCAAAAGAAAACTTGCTGTTTAGTTGGTAATGTGTGTCTGAGTTCAAATAAGGTGTCTGGCTTTTTTATTTTATTTTATATTATTTTTATGTACTTTATTATTAATAGACTATTTCTCAAATATAACTTTTGACTGAATCCTTTATTTCAAACAGGAGGACATCATGGGGCTGATGAAAACATTTGAAAGTGCTAAGTGTAAAATCAGAAAGAAAAATATTTACCTTTCATGAAGGCATGATGGCAATGAGAAGATTCTGGAGACAGTTTCAGCTGCTGCTTGGAAACTTGGCACCATGGCCAAGGGACTCGTTCCTGCAGTCTTTACTCCCCTGATACAAAGCTGCACTTGGCCTTCTGTAAGCACTCATGGGGAAAGCGCTGCAGAAACAGACCCATTTGTTCTCAAGGAGAAAAATCCTAACATGTTGGATTCGGTCAAAAAAAAAAAAAAAAAAAAAAGACAATTTTCAACATCTCAAGGATTAGCCGGAGACCTGAGTCTGTTTCCAGCTCTCCCACATCTGATGGGTAAACCTGGCTATGATACACCAGGATTTTGGGTCTCACTTTCTTTCTCTTTAAACAGGAAAGGGAAATGTGGTTTAGAGATAAAGATGCAGTTATTATTCAAGAGGTAGATATGGCTATTATTTTTTATTACCAGTGCAGGACATAGTATTTTCATGATACCATTAAAAGCTTTTCAGCTTCAAACACTGGCTCAATATTTTTCTATTTTTTTCTGTTTTCTTTTCTGCATGTTCCAGATCATGGAAGGAAACTTACCCTTATCAGGAAAAATTGGACCAAAATAGAATAGAAAGTAAACATTTTAAATTAAATTAAATTAAGGTAAATAATTTAAACTTGTGGTGTGGGAGTGGAAATAGATAATGATTTTTAGACTATGATGTCTTTCTGTTGTTCGGAATTTGAAGTGAAGGAGACATTTTTTCTGCTGACATTACTTTCTCTGCACCTTGGAAAAACATCTCTGGTGATAAAAATATAAAAGATCTTTTTAGAGCAAGAATTAGAAAAAAATGTCAGGCAGGAAGAAACAAATTAGCATAGTAGAGAGACTGAATTTACTTTAGCACAGCAAGAGGCAAGAAGAGAACGCTGAATAGGATCCTGAAGTGCTCCTGCAATACAGACAATAGTAATATAACATTATCCATGCATGTGAACATACTGCTTGCCTGATTTTTCTTTTTTTGATAGCTCATGGTATTGAGTCATGGATGGAATATCAGGAATATTGAATAAAGATTATGAGCTATAGGTGTGATAAATCCCCATTCATGTTAACTTTTCAAGTGTATGTATCCACACGTTTGCATGCTCAGCTAATGGGGTTAATACGTGTGTACTTTTCTCGGAGCAGCATGGGTTTGAACAGCCCCGCACGGGACTGGGACTTCTTTGTACTTCACTCCATAAGCTCACAGGAAGACATGGTCTTTGTCCCAAAGCATTTTAATGTCTACGTAGAAACAATGGCATGAAACAAAAGGAGGGAAGCAGAGAGGGAAAGGGACAATGAGGTCTCGCAGTTACGTGAGTCAACTCCATGTACAATAGAATTGACCTGAATCATCTGAAAGGCTCCTCGGGTAAATAGCTTTACTGTCCTGGGATGTGTCCGGGCAGCTGTTGCTTTTACACAGCTTTGATGGTCTGTCTATTCAGTTTTTGTTCTGATGTGGAGGATGGAGGATGTTGTTTGCCTTGTAGAAGAAGGAGACCTGGTTTTGAAAAGGGAAGTAGGACTTCCAGGTTTCCATGCCACTGCAATGGTTTTGGGAAATAAAGTGAAACATTGGACATACAGTGTTTTTTACAGCATGTCTGATGAATACAACAAGAACAGATACTGTTTTTATTATCTGTCCTAGACTTTTCCATCTCTAGAGTCTCAGCAGGCTCGGAGATATATTTGGACAGGGAGGATATATTGGACAGGGATATATTTTGGAGTAGAGAGGATCCTCCTGTGATTTAATTTATATTCCCCAAGAAATCAATAAAATTTAATTGCAGCTGACAATTAACAAAATTCATGTATACCTTCTGTCTTATCTAAAAGCATATTTGTGTGAAGAAATGCTAGTCCCAAAATATCTATGTGAACAAAAATGTTTTCACATGAATCTTCCTGGAGAAACAGTTGTGTAAATGCACAAGCCTGCTAGAAACAAACGTCTGGCCAGAGCTGAAAAAAGCATTCATGACTCTTTTGCAAACTTACTGAGCCGAAATAAATCAAACCAACATTATCCGTGTCTTGCTTAGAGCTTCTTCATTAAAATTGCAAGGCTCTAAGATACAGAATAACTACACATCCTTCACTGTAATCAAGTCCCCCATGCCAAACCATAGAAACCAGAAGTCAGACTAATACACATCCTTCTTATTATTAAAGTATTGGAGGTTTGCCTCACAAATGTTCTCCAAGCACTTCGTGGAAGAGCATAATCCAACACAAAGGTCACCAGCTATAGCTATCTGGAGGGAGCCCTTGCTCTGGCACAGGGTACCATGAGTGGAACAGCTGGTCTCCTTCTTCCTTGGTTTGCCATCTGCAATCTGTAGTGCCTTCCTGTCTGTGGCAGGAGCAACAGGGAACACTAGCAGTGGTGAGATGCTCATGAAATTTTAAAGGAAGCACCATAACATGGTGAAAGGCTTTTATTATCCATCACACTCCATGCTGTAATTTTCATATGTAAAATGTTCTTGTCTGGTCAGCACAGTCTCATCTGAGTTTCTTTATAAATTACATTGGTGCTTTTTAGAGCGCAAGAGCTACAGGTAGCTCATTTGCTATTTCTCTGTATGTGAGCGGTGCCAGATGAACTCTAAATGCTTCTGTCTCCTTCCTTATTAAGGATGCTATTTATAGCTCCTTTGGCTGCATTCCACCTGAGGATCAGATTGTTTACATAGAGTGAGGATATATTGTGTTTTTCTAAATAGAGAGCACATTTTTTGATTCATAAAAAAAATTCTTTTCCCTGAATAACATAATGGACAGATCGTACTTCTCACTCCTGGCTGAAATTCCAAGGTGTTCCAGAAAAAAAATGGGATAGTAAGGATATTCAAGTGCATGCAGGAAAATAAAGTGTGCCCAAGTAATAAACACAAATAAATACACATAAATGCAAGTAAAGGTCATTTATCTCAATCAAATGTTTAACACAGGTTTGTGGTTGCATTTCTTGCATCTGGTCCTCTCTGCTACTAACAATATATGAAGTTCTGCACAGTTTTATCTTTCTTAGGCAGTGCTACTGATCCCATTATTTCTTTTTCAGAAATTTTGCTGTCTTCTTTTTTGGATGGAGTCAAGACTTTTGAAGATCTACAAATCCAAACGGAAAAGGAAAATGGTAGATGGTGTACAACATTAAATGGCAGTTTATGTGGATATATAACCTATTATATCTTTTTTTTTTCTTCCACCAAGTTCTCCATGTGTTACAAAAGTAATCATGTCTTGGAAGAACAAAAGAGTCCTTGTATGTGACTTGATATGCTTTTTTCCTTTTTCCATTGTTTTTCAGTTCTTCAGCTTCTCCTCACATCACAGGGAAAAATATTACAAACGTAAGAGCTATTTTCTCCATCCCAGTGTATAAAAACATCACTTTAAAAAAATAAAAATAAAAATGAGACATTTTATTACTATGGTATTGCAGCAGTTTCCAGGATAGTAACACATGGAGTGGGCATAAACTCTCACATGTTTAACCAGGTAGTGAAAACGTATCAGCCAAGAGAGCTGCTTTTGGCATATCAGTTTGATCCTAGGGAATTAAGTGTCCTAAGAAGGAACTCTTATCCAGTATATCACAAGAAAGGCCAGTGTGTGGCCATTGAGCCAGTTACAGGCTCAGGCTTATGTGGAGAATTAAGTTAATTATCTTCTCACCTCCCATTAATTCCAGCCACTGCTGCATCACACAGTTGCAGCCTGCCCCTGAAATGCAGCCTTTTAGCTGCCTTAAAGCCTGGTCTTTTCTTTCCGTTACTGCAAAGTTAAGAGCCTAAAGAAAAGAAATAAAGGTTTAAAATTGAAAAATAGACAGGAAGTTTAAACTGAAGTGGCTGGAAAGGGAGTTTGAGTACCCACCACCCTGAAAAGGCACCCACAAAGCCGAGTGGTGGTGCCCGGCTGGATGGCAAGGGGGAGCAGGCCAGCTGCGGGGCCCATAGTTGAGTTCACTAATGTGCTGTGGGCAACTGGGAGGCTTACTGGGATCACGTCAAAGAATGAACACTGTGGGGCTGGGGGTTAAGGTTGGGTGGTGCCTCTTTCCCAGATAAATCATGTCAGATACCAGAAAAACAAGGGTTTCCAGGAAGCCATCCTGCCTTGGACTAAAACTTGTGTGAAGCTGCAGGTGGGCCACTGGTTTGTGAAGTGACCAGGCTGAGGGCTGCCCAGCCTCTCCTCCCACAGCCAAGTCTTTCAGGGCTGTTTTGGGGCACAGCACAAGCATCTCTGCCACCTCCACTGGTAGGTGCCATGCAGCATGGTTCCCTACCTTCTTGTTTATCTTTTTACCCGGTCACTGGAGAGACTGACCAGTGTACTGGAGAGGTCCTGGGAAGAAGAAAGCAATCTATTTCTGGACTGGACCCATAGGTCTCATTTTTAGTTGTTAGTTTTTTCAATTACTGAACAGTAAGCTACCAATACATTTACTACCTCTTACCTTTTTTTCCCCACGACATGTAAAGGCACTGATAAGTATGCTGCAATGCCATATAATACTTTCTATTACAGCCTGTACCACAGGATGTTGCAGACACCATTATGGTACAAAGAATATACCATTTTAGAGTGTCATCTGAAATTCACAGAGGAATAAAAAGCCTATATCCCTTCCACAATTCAAATAATATATCAAAAATATATTTCCAGCGTAGACCAACTTTTAATGACAAACAGCCTTATCAGCTTAAACTGTGCAAAACATCTTTAATGCACTTTTAAGTTCAATTTCCTTGTACAAATACATTCATGCAAGTGTTGTTAGACATATCACTGCCTAATCACCAGAGTGTGATTAACAGTATAAATTTGCCTCTGTGATCTACCCAGACATATGCATTAGAGCAAACACACTAAAGTATATGTTTTAAAGGAAAATATATTTATTATCACCTCTGTACATACTTGATATCTATTTAAATGGACTGTCAGGTCACAGCAGTGTTTTGAAGGTATTTCCTGACACCTGCAGAGTTGGTAAATATTTCCTGTTTTTGTTGTGTCTGTTGAAAATAGGAATTTTACAAGCTGGAACAGATAACTTGACAAGCACCATGATCCCCAGTCTAGCAGGTCTTAGTGTGGTTTCCACTGGGGTTTGTGACTGTTCAAGGGCTGGACAGTCCTTGATTATCCTTGGGCTGACAAAATGGCATGTTGTTGCTTTCTTGCTCTCACAAAATAGGCACTACTGCTACTCAAGCACAGTCATTTGTGTATCTGTGTCCTGAGCAGCCACCAATGATGCAAAACCCAGCTGTGTGGTTTAATTTTTGCAGAATGGGTGAGCATAGCAATTATATAGGTGATAATACAGCAAGATCTCTGAAAGCTGAAGCATTCTTTCCTGTCTCTCAAGCAGTAAGCACCCTGTGCATTTCCGGGTTAGGCAAGATGCTCCGTGTAAACAAACAAACCTGTGTTTGGATGAAGAACAAGGCAGAGATTTCCTTAACTTTATTAGTATGCTGTGCTCCTGATCCTCCCTGATCCCCTCCCATCCACCATGCTCCCAAACCAGTCGCAGTTCAGACTCACGTGCTGGCTCCCTTCTCACTTTTGAATGCTGTCAAGTCAATACTCAACTGAAATTCAGAGCAGGAGTTAATTGTGCATAAGCTGATCTTCACTGTTCTAATGAGACTCAATTGATTTTTTCATGAAACAACAAAATTCACATAGTCCTTCTGCTCCCAGCAAACGCCAGGCATATAAAAGTATTATATGATAAATTAGGACAGCCAAAATCATATGAACATTACTTGAAAAAAATCTTTCTTCCTCACAAGAGAAACATCTATTTTTGAAGAACAAATAATGGATTGGAATGCCATTGAAATCCAAACACAATATTAGTATGTTCCTGAAAAAAAAAAAAGGTACAATACTGAGGGAGAATGCACAAGAGCCCTTGCAGCTGTGTCACACTTTCCTGTTTGTTATTTTTAGTTTTCTATTCCTGCTTTTTATTTTGGGCTTTGCTTTGCTTCCTATGCAGCTTCCCTTTAACTCCTGTATAGCTCTTTCTTACATATTTCAAGCACATGGCTTTTTTTTTCCTCATTTTTTTTTCTCTCTCTTTTTTTTTTTTTTTTTCAAAGGAAACCCAGGCAGTACTGTCCAGTTTCAGGAACTTAGTTTCTTTTGGCAGGGGTCGAGTTCTTGGTTTTCTGAAGGCATTTAGGAAATTTACATTGCTAGTTTTCAGCTTTGAACATGATAAGGCTTTATAAGCATAAGAAAAACATCAGCTCACAAGGAGAATGCAAGTCTGCAGTTTGGTATGTCCTGGTCCACTTTGCACCTGGGAAACTGATGGCATCTGGACCAACATTACATTTCCAGGACAGCATTTAACAAAAAAAGGAACAAAAATGGGTTCTGGTTTTAAAACACTGTATTATGGTGTTTTTTTTTTTTTCTTTCTTATTTATATATTGAAGTATTTGCAATCTTGTACAGACATACAGCTTGTCTTAGAACAGGAAATGTTATCACCCCTTAAAATTGTATTACAAATATCCCATTTCTGAGTAGTTTGCTTTCAGGCCAGGATCTATCCACACAGAAATTGTTAAGAACATCAGTTGATGTCTAAAAAAGATATTTGAGGGGTGGTGGGTGAAGAAAAGACTTTATTTCCCTCACAATAAACTTATTGCAGGAAAAGGTTTACGAGTGTGCACAAGTACACTCAGAAATCGGTAGCCACTTGTTAAAATCCTGGAAGATTTTGAAATTGGTATCTTGATTTCTAGGACTTGGCTCCCAACAGAAACCGAAAGCTTGGGGCTGGCAATATTGATACTGTCCAACAGTAAGTATGAAATCAGAGTACACAGAAAAGAAGTGAAAGTATCTGCTTCCCTCCTGAACCTTTCCTCCCCCTACTTTAGAAAGCTTTTATTGATTGCCAGGGTGGACACAACCTAAGCAGAAGGTGAAATCGGACTCGGCCAACTCATAAAGGCAAATAATGGGACACCAGAAACCTGAAAATTTCACACAGTAGGTGCATAGTAACTGGTCTCAGTTTCGGTATTAGGTAAAGTAGAGCTATCTTTCAATACTGCTGCTTACTTCAGTGAACAGGACATTGCAGGAGCGAGTTAAAATGGTCATACTAGGACAGGCTGAAGATCCGTCTAGCCCCATATCCTCTTCATAAATGGCTCTTAGCACTCTCACATCCAGACAGACTGCCATTCTTTTTCCCATCCCAGGTGGCACCTACCAGCAAAGGTGGCAGAGATGCTTGTGCTGTGCCCCAAAACAGCCCTGAAAGACTTGGCTGTGGGAGGAGAGGCTGGGCAGCCCTCAGACTGGTCTTCAAGAACTTCATGAACTTCATGAACTGGTGGCCCACCAGTGGGGGTTGGTCTGTTCTCCCACGTGCCTGGCGACAGGATGAGAGGGAATGGTCTAAAGTTGTGCCAGGGGAGGTTTAGTTTGGATATTAGGAAGAACTTCTTTACCAAAAGGGTTGTCAGGCATTGGAATGGGCTGCCCATTGAAGAGGTCAAGTCACCATCCCTGGAGGTCTTTAAAAGACGTTTAGATGTAGAGCTTAGGGATATGGTTTAGTGGAGGACTGGTTAGTGTTAGGTCAGAGGTTGGACTCGATGATCTTGGAGGTCTCTTCCAACCTAGATGATTCTGTGATTCTGTGAGTGTGCAGTGGGAAGCCAGTACAGATGTGAAAAGAAAGGTCAAAAGATGAAAAAGTAGAAAATAGAGAGGCAGGCTAAGAGCCCTTGGTCCCATAATCCTCATTTCATCATTTGCATCATTCCTTCTACGACATTAATTTCACTGCCACTAGTACCAGCAGGTAGAAGTTTCAAATGATAATGGGTACAATTTTCTTCCATTATAATTTCACGTTGGAAGCTGTTGTGTGTGGATCAATCTCTCACAAGGGCAGCTGAAGAAATACAAAAGAATTTTATAAATTGGATGGAAAAGAAAAGAAAGCGTCCCTAAATGGTTTGCAGACGTCTCCCTCCTTCTCCTTTCATCCT